TGGGACAATCTGGACCAAAATGACCTTAGACGTCTCATTAGGAGTATGCCACGTCGGATCAATGCTTGTTTGGCAAACAGAGGAGGATTTACCCGTTACTGACTTGGTTGTCATGCTGTGGTAACTTTGCTGTTTGACCCCGGGTATCATTTTACCCTTATAATGGTCAGTCTGTGCCTTACTTAGTCTAACGATCATTTGGAATAAATCGATGAATGTGAACTTCATTTCATTTTGTCATTTGTTTCTTCGTCAGTTTCATTAGGTGACTTAATAACACTTAAAAATCAAATTTCCCCCTACTTTTTTTGAATAGTATATAATTAAATACGTATATATATTCATGCATTTGTAGACATTAAGAAAAACAGGAAAAATCAGTACACAATAAGGTACAGTAGTTTGGGAATGATATTGATGAATGAAATTGGTTCAAAAATATAAAGATACTGTCAGGCATCATTATTTCTTTTTATCAGGCTGTGGGGTCGAGGCAAATCCGCCAAAATCTCGTAAGGATTGTTGTTTTAATGGCCCAACTCTGTTATCATCGTCTATACAGTCGGAAGATGTGTTGATTGCAGAATGTGATAAAGTAGCTTCGTTGTAGTTAAACAAAGACTTATTAGCTTGTGAATTTATTCTGTTTGTTGATGTATGAAAGTTATCGAAGTCCTGCTCACAGGTTATGACAATATTTCGGTCGTCTGCTAGAGGTCGTATGTAAACTCGACCATCATACGTCCAACAGTTTTTAATTAGCTTTGATTTAAACATATCACGACATCTTTTGTAAAGTGCAGCGCGTTTACGAGTGAGGGCTTCATTGATAAATATCTTGTGAATCTGGGTGAGGTTTCTCTGTTTTAAGTTGAGTTTAGAACCATATATCCTTGCCCTGTCTCTATAACTATTGAAACGTACTATTATATCACGGCCCTTTTCTCTGCGTTTGGCTCCAACCCGGTGAGTTCGGCCAATTTGACTTAGTGTGAGTTTAGCCTGTTTTTCAGGAAGTATGTCATTGTTAATAATATTTAAAACTATATTATCAGTGTTTTCTTCAGGTGTTTCGGGGATGCCACTAAATTTTAGGCATGGTCGCCTAGAATACTGTTCTAAGTCATCGACTCGGTTCTCTAAATCATCTATACGATTGCGTAGAGGGTCTGTTAATGTTGGATGAATTATTTTTATAATGTGGTCCATGATCAGATCTCGTTTGAATAATTCTCCAACGAATGACTTTAAGGATGATTCATTCGAAAGAACATCATCTAAAAACTCAGAAATGCTATGGGAACTGGCACTCGACTCAAGATTTCCACGTTCACGTTTTATGGATACAGACCGACCTCTAAGTTTGGATACAACCGGTTCTTTCACTTTAGGCATGTTTTTTGTTTTAGTGTAAGGTTGAACGAATCTGGCTGTTACAAAATCTACTCACAACAATCTCACACAACTGAGTATATGTCAACCGAGAAAAATATCTACACTTGTAAACATCAAATATTTTAAAATCGGCTCTACATAATGTTAATCTAATTTCACAGAACACTTCGTCTTCATACTTATCTAAGCTATGCAGTTTTTAGAACCATAATTTAAAGTATACCACTCATGATTTATAAATACCTGCTATGACCAGGTACACGTCTAACTTCTGTCGACCATCTTGAATTCGCTCTTTTCTGAATATTCCCTACTATTTGTTTAAGAGTATAGATAACGTTGAGGTTACCAAATTTCCGCGGGGGTTTAAAATCTCACTGGTATCTCGTTCTATGTAATGGATGGGGCGTCATAGTCTTAAAGTAAAATTAAAAAAAAATTGGCTGCAATGGCAAAGCGTCTTCTACTCTCTTTATTTTTAAATATCCAAATTTCAATGATTGCTATCGTCGTATATTTTTGTTCGGTGACACTTCTAATTAATGTATTTCTTATATCCCGAAAGAGTACCCATGTGGAGAGTGGCATTTTCTTAATAGAGAGGGACCCGGGTGACCAGTTTTTAACGCCTTGTCAGCACTAGCGACAAATCGGATAATGTCGCAGTTCCAAACATAATAAGCCATTTGTGAAACATGATCTCTCCAATCCAAGATCGGCAAATATATTTTTCAAACACCAACACCATACAAATATATTTATGAGATACCCCTTATAAATATGTTTATGAGATATCCTTATAAATATATTTATGTGATATCCCTTATAAATATATTTAAGTGATGTACCTTATAAATATTTTTATATGATATCCCTTACAAATATATTTATGAGATATCCCTTATAAATATATTTAAGTGATGTACCTTATAAATATCTTTATGTGATACCCCTTATAAATATATTTATGTGATGTCCCTTATAAATATATTTATGTGATGTACCTTATAAATATCTTTATGTGATATCCCTTACAGATATATTTATGAGATATCCCTTATAAATATCTTTATGTGATATCCCTTATAAATATATTTATGTGATATCCATTATAAATATCTTTATTTGATATCCCTTATAAATATCTTTATGTGATGTCCCTTATAAATATTTTTATGTGATATCCCTTATAAATATATATATTTATGTGATGTAAATATATTTATGTGATGTCCCTTATAAATATCTTTATGTGATGTCCCTTATAAATATTTTTATGTGGTATCCCTTATAAATAGATATATTTATGTGATGCCCCTTATAAATATTTTTATGTGATGTCCCTTATAAATATTTTTATGTTATGAAAATACTTTGCTCTCTACTGAAATGTAAAGTTCCCCACAATTGCCTATCTAATTATACCCAATTAATACAGACTCAGTATTTTGCAAAACAGCTATATGAAACCAATTATCAAGTTTTGGCGATTTTGACACGCCCTTATCTTAAAAATAAAGCCTACAATTTCTCGGAAGGCTATAATATAACATGATATAAGTAGTTTCAAATGACCCTAAACATTAAAACAAGCGGTTGCCATGCAAGATGCGCACGCATTTTGCAAGAGTTGGACGGAAATCAATAGAATTCATCCTCTGATTGTCCCAATGCTTCACATGAATTTGAAACAAAAGTCAGTGAAAAATTGATTCAAGGTTTATAATTGAGTATGACAAAGGCTCATTTTTTTTTACAAATTTGAAGTTAAGCAACGTCGGGCCCTGTCAGTACTAACATTTTCTGGTCACTTTGGTAAAGATAACTACGGGTTTTATTCACCCTTTGTCGTCTACAAATTAGCTGAATACGGAAATTTAAGTCTGATGCCATACCTGCTAAATTTCTACTAAATTTCAATTATTATACCAGTTTGAAACATGAACTAATTGGCTCTTATCGTATGATGGACCACAACAACAATATCTGTTGGTGACAGATATATCAGGACTGTCAGAATCTCGAATTTGTAAACAAATTAATTACGTTTTAACTAAACAGAAGTTTTAGTAGGTCAAACAAATTACGTTTTAAATAAACAGAAGTTTTGGTAGGTCAAACTGTTCTCATATTCACATAATTTATAACTCATCTAGCATTAATCAACAATTATATGACATCTGCTGTCTGAAGGCCGTCTGGGTACTGCTACGCATGTTTAGTTATTCCTGTTATATCCACGCTTAGTGGTCTTCCTTGCAGAAAAGTTTGGCTGATCTATGTTAAATATTTTGCGTCAAAGAAATTTTAGTAAATATTGATATTGACTGTATATGAATACAAAATTTGAGAAATAAAGATTACCAACTTTGTGATTTTAGAGTACCTATAGACTTTATCGATTTGTAGTCAACGATCGCCTTTTACAAAACCGGATGAAAGGGGTCCAATTATAAGACGTAGATTAGAAAAGCATAATGTTTGAGAACGGTGAACCGGGGTCTGTGAAGTCAAAGGGGCCCGGGGTGGGAGTGGGGCGTCCACGGGAAAAAGAGTGTTCATGAAAAAGGAAAATTTTGGTATTCGGACTATGAATCTTCGTAGCTGCTTGTCTTTTTCTGACTGAAACCTTCTTTTGTTTGGGGGAGGTCTTACTAGAATAAGAACGTCTCTCGGCTTAACATTCGTAATAATCATTATTTGTAAATTTGCCTTTCCGTTTTTAGGGTTTCTCATAATACTAATCTTACCAACAATTATTTTGTCACCGCTTCGCACAGCTCATCCTTTATAAATATAAGCAGACAATGTATCCGTATAATGTTTCCAAGATATTTTAAAATTATCTTTTATATAATTTTTTTTTCGAACTTGTTAAGCGTCATAAGGTACATTATGATAACATCATTTATTTATTTACCAAGCTTCAGTGAGCTAGAATAAATGTAATTTATAAAAGCACTGACATGTCTGTGTGATGGATAGATTTAATGTATATACAGGAATGTTGTAAGAGCCCATGCATGTCTCACCAAACCTTTTTTTCACTAATAAGTATAATGGAATCACAAACAAGGACTAATATATATGTACGAAACAATACCGACAATAAAAGATACTATTTAATGTAACAATATAAGAGCCCATGCATGTCTCACCAAACCTTTTTACCACTAATAAGTATAATGGAATCACAAACAAGGACTAATATATATGTACGAAACAATACCGACAATAAAAGATACTATTTCATGTAACAATATAAGACATACCACTTAGCATATCCATAAGGAATCACCGCTTGTACGTGACAAGGAGTAGGGTTGCCTGTCCCAACACGTGGGTTTTCTCTGGGTCCTTCGGTTTCCTCCCACTGCTAAACAACGATACGCACAAGCGAGTTATTGAAATAAAATTAAACCATATGTTTGTCCCGAAATGACCTTGTCTTTGTCGAGTGGACGTTAAACTCCCTCTCTCTCTTTCTCTCTCTCTCTCTCTCAGGGCTAAATCTTTAACTTAACATTATCCATAATATTCGAAATGAAAAACACAAATTAGAATTCAATTTTGAACCACAATCAATATTGATGTAGTTATCTTACTGTTAAAATATGAGATTTTCTTATCAACTGTTTAAGACACAGTGAACATTTTTACAATCAGTACACCGCGAGTCGTGTATTCTACGGTCTCTTGTTTATTGGTGCACACTTCATCATAACATGACAGACTTAAAAGAATGTTTACTTTTTATACGCCCACATTTCAGTGTGGGCGTATTATGTCGTAACTCTGTTTTCGGTCCGTTTTCGACGGATCGTTTTCAAATTCGATAAATGATTAATACATCAAAATGGGATATCAGTGCACTTAATTTCTTAATGATGTATCTCATTGATATTTGGGTGATTTAATCCAGAGTACCACATTTTATGTTATTCTCGAACAATGATTAACTCAATGATTAGGCTAATCAAAGTATATAAAAAATGTTAGTTTAAGACTTAATCAGCTATTCAGATTAAATTTCTGATTAGCACTAATCCACTTTCAAAAATATGGGCACATGCATTGTCCTCTCCAATCTGCCAAGAGGTGTTGGGTGTCAGAATGGGTTAACGGGCGCGCTTTACGTCATAAGACCGATCATTCAGTCAAGTTGCGTAGCTTCAATTCACGTGACAAGTAGGGTTCTCTGTCTAACCTCATCACACGTTCAGTGACTAGAATAGTACCTTACATGGAGTTAGCATGAAGTCTTTCAGCAGCAGCTGATGGTTTTGTTCAGTGACTAGAATAGTACCTCACATGGACTTAGCATGAAGTCTTTCAGCAGCAGCTGATTTCCCACTGTGGGAACTATAGGTAATCGGTTGCCATTATGAAGGTTCTTCTACCACCAAATTTAATTAATCTAGGTTCTGAAATGTTAAGACAGAAATAAAATTAATTACCACAGTTTAGTTGGAATACCCGAGAGAGAGAGAAGAGAGAGGGGTCATTTCGGGACTAACACATGGTTCAATTTTATTTCAATAATTCGCTTGCGCGTCGGGGTCTTTAGCAGTGGGAGAAAACTGGAGGACCCAGAGAAAACCCACGAGGTTGGACAGGCGACCTGTTTTTAAGCAAATTTGTTGAAACATATTTAACAGGAATAGATTGAACGAAACTGTAGGTATGGAAGTGTTTTTTTGGGATTACTTACATCAGTACATTGTAAATTTTTAGCGCTTGACTGGATTACACACTTCAAATTAAAATATATGATCAAGAGAGATAATTCATCAATTATTTAGAAAAAAATACAGGAAATTAAATAAAAATTAACAAATATTTTTTAAATGTACATCATTATATGTCTTACCATGATTTGACTGAAAGGTTCCATCTTCATAATATTTTGAAACTGTTCGTACATGAACTGACCTGAAAAAATTCATAAAAAAACCCTTGCTTATTTATTTTATGACATGGAGAAAGGAAAAGTGATTTGTATCTTCCTTTACATAAAAATCAAACCAAAAACAGGCAGTGAAAACATTTAAGTTAATCATAGTCAATTCATATTGTCATTCATAGAATAATTTATAAACTTCAATCTATTTCCAATATCTCCTCCAAAATGTTGCCATTATTTTTCTAAGTCAGTAAAAAGGCTGGTATATAATAAATTGAGCACTCTCCAGTAGTGTACTACCTGGATAATCTGTAATGGGGCTACACACAGGGTACTAGTTACTCTATTAAGCCCTAGGGAAAGTCCCCAGACCCTAGGTTGAGAGACCACAAAGGTAAAACTTGTAAGCCCCACCCCGTCTACTTCCTACACTGGTGGGGTGGTTGTCAAAGCAAAGTTATACAGATAATGTTCAATAGCATGAACACAATGGGGCTTATATCTAGGTAGTACATTTTCCCCAGCCTACCAAGGATTAGAGCTAATTACCTGAACCACAAAGGGAAATAAATGTCTAGGTAAATTATGCACAATTTTGCACTTCAGAGCGGTAAAAACACAGGGTTTAAATTCCACTCAACACAAACTACGTCACTGTGGAACTAAAATATGGCAGCATACCATTTTATTTGAATAATTCTCTTGCATGTAGGGGTCTTTAACAGAAGGAAGAAACTGGACGACCCAGAGATTTGTACTCAAAACTTTGAACCAATACATGAATTCTGTATTTAATATTTACAGATTTTCTATCTTTTCTAAGTTTCACCACTCTCTATCAGATAGCATCAAGATTATCTTGTCCCAAAGCATCGACCAATGATATTGATTAGCTCTAGCTCGAAATGTTAATCATTGAACTAAGTCAAGACATTCACCTGATAAACATCTACATCACGTTTAAACATTATACCTCAATTAAAAGCAGAGTTGTTATGTTCCAAAGTCTTGACCAATCAAATTGATTATCGCTCCTTAGCCTGAGTGGACAGAAAAATCTCACCATCGAACTTAGTCAAGGTAATAATATAATGAATCTATATTCGGACATTCATCGCTCTCACTTCATTATAACCAAAGTTATCGTGCCCAAAAGCATTAACCAATCAGATTGCTTATCTCTGCCTACCGTAAACAGACAATGTTCATCATCGAACTCCATCAAGGGATTCACCTAATGAACGCCTACACTAAGTTTGAATATTCTACCTCAATTAGAAGGAAAGTTATTGTGTTCCAAAGTCTCGACCAATCAAATTGCTTATCGTTCTGCTTACCCTTGGCAGAAAATGTTCATTATCGAAGTTAGTCAAGGTATTGATGTAATGAAAATTTACACCAAGTGTTCTCACTCTGACTTAATTAGAACTAAAGTTATCGTGTCCCAAAGCATCAACCAATCAAATTGCTTATATCTGCTTACCCTAAGCAGAAAATCCTCATCGGCATTCATCTAATAGACACCTACGTCAAGAGTGAATATTCTAATTCAATTAGAATGTGAGTTATTGTGTTCCAAAGTCTTGGTCAATCAAATTGCATATTGCTCTGCATACCCCCGGCAGAAAATGCTCATCATCGCACTTAGTCAAGATATGGGTGTGATGAAACTATACACCAAGTTTCATCACTCTCATTTAATTAGAACTAAAGTTATCGTGTCCCAAAGCATCAACCAATCAAATTGCTTATCTCTGCTTACCCTTGACCGAATAAAAACCTACACAAAGTTTGAACATTCTAGTTCAATTAGAAGGTGAGTTATTGTGTTCCAAAGTCTCGGCCAATCAAATTGCCCATCGCTCTGCTTACCCTAGGCAGGAAATGCTCATTATTGAACTTAGTCAAGGTATGGATGTAATGAAACTATACACCGGGTGACCAAGTTTTAACGCCTTGTCAGCACTAGCGATAAATTGGGTACATGTCGCAATTCCACACATAATTAGCCATTTGCAAATAATGATCTCGGCATCGCGAGATCGGTAAATATATATTTTTAAACACCAACACCATACAAATATATTTATGTGATATCCTTATTAAATATATTTATGTGATATCCCTTATAAATACCTTTATGTGATATCCCTTATAAATATCTGTATGCGATGTCCCTTATAAATACCTTTATGTGATGTCCCTTATAAATCCCTTATGTGATGTCCCTTATAGATATTTTTATGTGATATCCCTTAAAAATATTTTTATATTATGAAAATACTTTGCTCTCTACTGAAATGTAAAATTCCCCACAATTGTCTATCAAATTATACCCAATTGATACAGACTTAGTACATGTATTTTGTAAAACAGCTATATGAAACCAATTATCAAGTTTTGGCGATTTTGACACGCCCTTGTCTTGAAAATAAAGCCTACAATTTCTCGGAAGGCTATGATATGAAGAACATGATATACTCAGCCAAATTAAAAACTTGACACTGATGAATTTCAACAAATTTTTTTTTCTGGTAAGTCAAATAAATTTTAAAGTGTTTCTAACGATGGTAAGTAGTAAGAAGCCTTTAATTTCATAAAATTGTAAAGTCACGTGGATCACGTGACTTTTGAGCATATAAAGATGAAAAACATGAAAAACACGTGCAAACACAAACTCGTGAGGTCAATCGATGCAAGTTTGCTTAAACTGAACACGCACACGTAACTCGAACTGGAAAAACAAATTAAAATTGTTATTTTCATCTTTGTTAGAAAATGCCGCGCCTTTCAAATGTAGAACGTCTACGTGCTATATGTAGGCTCTATGCTGGTCAGTCTGTGGTCACTGTTGCAAGAGCCTTTAATTGTTCACGCCAGACAATAATTAATCTTAGAATGAGAGTGCTTCAAACTGGAACTATTGCCGACCGCCCAAGGACGGGAGCGCCATGTGTGACATCACTCCAGGAAGATCAAGCAATACGATTACGTCATCTTAGAAACAGATTTGTCACTGCAGCCTCCACAAGTAGAGAGATGTTTGGTGGAAGGGTAACTGCACAAAATGTTCGAAATCGCTTGCAGGCTGCTGGTCTTCGAGCTCGGAGGCCCCTTTAATGGACCAATATTGACACCTCTTCATCGCCGTAACCGACTTGTGTGGGCCACAAGACACATAAGATTTACTTAAAGACAGTGGAATTCGGTTGTCTTTAGTGACGAATCTCGATTCACTTTGAGATTTGCCGATGGCAGGGTCCGAGTGTACCGCAGACGAGGTGTCAAGTTTTTAATTTGGCTGAGTATATAAGTAGTTTCAAAGAGAGAGAGAGAGAGAGATATGGGGTTTAACGTCCACGCGACACAAACTAGATCATTTCGGGACTAACACATGGTTCAATTCTATTTCAATAATTCGCATGCGCATAGGGGTCTTTAGCAGTGGAAGGAAACCGGAGGACCCGGAGAAAACCCACGAGGTTGGATATATCCAAAACAAAATCATTAATTGGTGGAGATCTATGCTATCAGCTCCCATTTATTCATGCTATAACGGGCTGTGACACAACCAGTAGGTTCTTTGGAATAGGGAAACAATTTGCTTTAAAGAAAATCAAGTCTGATCCATATCTTCAGGAACAAGCGAACGTGTTCATGACTGACAACATGTCAAAACAGACTATAATTAAAGCTGGAAAAGAAGCACTTGTCAGTTTGTATGGTGGAATTCCATTCGAGGGAATTGATTTATGTCGCTGGAGGAAATTTATATCAAAAACAATGTCCGCCGGTCGTGTTGTAAATGTCCAAGTCCAGTCACTTCCACCCACTTCAAATGCAGCACAATTTCATTCCTTGCGTGTGTATCTACAGTGCCAGTATTGGTTGAACA